GGAATGGGCGGACCTGATCATTGTATTGCACACCTCTAAAAAAACACTGCTCTGATTTATACATATAAAAAAGATCCTCTGAGGAGGGCACTTTTGTGATGGCAACTTCTCTACTAGGGGTGAGTCTGAGGATTTTCTTGCTGCTCTAATTAGTTCTTTTATTCTGCATCTTTTTTTTTTTTTACTGCCTAGTGGAGGGGTTAAAGCAGTCCTGAGTCCAGACAGGGGCTATCAGTCTCCTATTGAGTCCTATAGTACGAGGGAGTGGAGAGAGAAAAGAGGAAGGAACTTCAAGGGGGCCGAGTCACTTGGACTCAGGAGAAGGTAGTGAGGGCACTTGTAGACACAACCTTCTCCTGCCCAGAGGTGCAGCTTACATGACTGCAGACACTTCTTAACCGGCTGCTGCCTTTGTCATAAATCTCAGCCCTCTCCTGTGCCAGGTACGTCCAAACCATTTCTTCTTCTCTATGCATCTCATTCTACATTGCCTTCATTTCCCCTCCGGCCTGATCACACACAGCTAGGACTCGCTCACTTCTCTTTGTGTTTTAGTAGATTTTTGTATTATTATACTGTTGTTATTATTATTATTATTAATATTATTATTTTAGATTTTATACATTTAACATCATGCAGGAAAAAGTTCAACTACAATCAATCAGAATAGAAATCATTTTAAACCCTTTTTATTTGTATTTTGTATTATTTTCACATTCATTTATTATGTTTCCCTTTAGATATATTTTATATATGACATTAGATTAGATTGTGTCACAGATTAATCCCACTTTTAAAGGTGTCTGACTCCATTTGCAGAACATTTATACAGTTTTCACATGACCTACCGTTACCTAAAATTAAATGTGTTATTACAGCACATTTATATTCATTTTATTACATTAGGTTTGATTCGTTTTAAATCACAAATTCCCATCCTGATGGGATTTCTAAAGATACAAATGTGATTTGATTTAATTTGCAACCGCTTTCATTTGACTGCCCTTACATTATACAATTTTCTTGTTCAATTTCCTTTAGATTTACCATTAACTATGCAGAGTAAGGGCCTGCCTAATTGCATACAAATTGAGTGATGAGGTTTGACCTCATATTATATGGTTTTGGTAAATCTAAAGAAAATTGTACAAGAAAATTGTATAATGTATGGCCAACCTTACCATCCCTTAATACAGAATGTGTTATTCCAAGTATATATTGTCCAGAAAAATGTATTAGATTGGGTTGGGATTTGCTATAATCTAAAGCTCACAACCCATGTTACAATCTGATTATACAATCTCGTTTAGATCCACAAAGATTATGTAGTGCAAGGGCCCACCTGACTGGATACATCTAAAGATATAGTACATCTAAAGATGATTGTACAAAGATTGCATGGTCAGATTATAATTTGTAGGGTAACCCTACTATAACAATCATCTAACCTGCACAAATTCTCATCCTAATCAGTTTTCTGTTTGTGATCTGACTTGCAGAGTATTTAGGATAGTTATCCTATGATTTACCGTTCCTTAAAACAGCATGTGTTATTCCTCTTTATTATAATACATTGGGATCTGCTATGATCTATGCTTTATTACATGAAAATTGAATTTCCTATAATTTATTATAACACTTAATAATCTGATCTAACACTGTATTACAATAAAATGGGATCTGCTACAATTTAATCTAATACTTGATTACATTAAAATGGGATCTGCAATAATCTAATGTAACACTTGATCACATTAAACTGGGATTAATTATAATCTAACAATAATCTAATCTGCACAGATTCCCATCGTGATACATTTTCTATACATCTCTATAATTTGATTTAATTTACAGAGCACTGCAATAGTTTTCCCATGACTTACCGTTCCTTAAAATAGGCTGTGTTATTCCTCTTTATTTAGGTGTCCGTTTGTGAACCAGAGAATAGCTGCGATTCAACGGATCTCAGCTATTCTCTGGTCATTCACAGTTTATAACACTCAGGAGATCCTGTCAGCCCTTCTCTGGAGATCTGTGTTCTCCGTCCAGATTCTCCAGCCCAGAGCTGGAGAATCAGAGGGACCGCAAACTAAGCAGAGATAATTTACCTCTGCTTAGTAAACTGGATTTTACTATAATCTGGAGAGATTATAGTAAAATGAGCCGTTTTTTCACAGTTTGTAGACCGTTATCCAGCGTTTGGAAACCGTTCTCCCTTCGTTCGGAGAACTGCTTCATAAACTGCATTCACAGGAGAACTTTGTTCTCCGAGAATGCCGGAGAACTGAGCAGCGATCTATTACCTCTGGTTCACAAACGGACACCTATTATTAGATGGGATCTAGTGTAATCACAGATTCTCAGCTTGATACGTTTTTTTAGGTCGTTTTAATTGTATTTGATTTAAAGGACACCTCTACAGTTTTTGTATGACTTAACGTCCCTTATAACTAATAAATCGTTGCAGTTCATTTAACTTTTGATATTTCTGTTAGTATTGTAAATGTCTATTCAGATCTGATGGTAATCGGTGGCTCTCCAGCAGGTGTGGAACTACAAGTGACAACAAGCAGAGGGCTTGTTGCGCCTTGTAGTTCCTCTATTGGAAGCCACAGGTTGCCCCAGGCTGATTTAAAGGGATAAAGTAGTTGGGCGCAGAGTGTGACGTTTTCTGTCCAGGCTTGCCTGTGAATCACTGCACTGCCTGATCTCTCCTTTCCTTCTCCTTGTCCCCAGGAAGAGCCCAGATTGGGATCCACTCCTCTGGCCATGCTAGCCGCCACCTGTAACAAGATCGGCAGCGCCAGCCCGTCCCCGTCTTCTCTGTCGGACAGCTCTGGCTCCTTCGGGAAGGGATTCCACCCCTGGAAGCGCTCCTCGTCCTCGGGAAGCTGCACCCTGGGCTCCGGCTCTCTGTCTGGATTCGGAGGTTCGTCCCGCGGCTGCTCCTCTTCCTCCAGCGCAGCAGCTGCGGCAGCTGCTGCGGCGGCGGCTGCGGCTGCCGCGTTGGTGTCGGACTCCTTCAGCTGCGGGGGGTCCCCGGGCTCCAGCGCTTTCTCTTTGACGTCCTCCGGAGGCGGCGGCAATGGAGGCGGGGGAGGAGGGGGAAACGGCCCGGTCTCGGCAGCCTCACCCTTTGCCAACGAATATTCGGTATTCCCGGTGAGCGGGGGATCGCAGGAGGCGGCAGCGGCGGCTGCAGCGGCAGCAGCGGCGGCTGCAGCCACTCACCACCAGCCGGTCTTCTTATCCAAGGTGCACGCCTCGGTGGACAGCCTGCAGAGCATTTACCCCCGGGTGGGGATGGCGCACCCCTACGAGTCGTGGTTCAAGCCATCGCATACCGGAGATGTGGGCGCTGCGGCAGCCGCAGGGGGCGCCTCCAGCTGGTGGGAAGTTGGAGCCGGATGGATAGACGTTCAGACCCCAGGGGCAGGAGCGGCCCTCCACCCCAGCACCCTGCAGGGCTCATTGCACTCCCCTCTGGGTGGCTACGGCTCAGACTACACAGCTGCCGGCTTTGGACATTTCACCGGAGGAAGCGCAGGGGGAGGCGCTGGTGCCGGCGCTGGCGCTGGGGGTGCAGGAGGAACCCCAGGGGGACATCTACTAAGCCCAGCCGGGCAGCACCTGATGGACGGATTTAAGCCAGTGATTGGTCCCGGCTCCTACCCAGACCCCTCTTCTTCACCCTTATCCGCCGCCGGCTCCATGCTGGCACCCACCGGGCCCCTAGGAGGGTCCCCTCGCTCTTCTGCCAGGCGCTACTCCGGCAGAGCCACTTGTGACTGCCCCAACTGCCAGGAGGCGGAGAGGCTGGGTCCCGCGGGGGCCAGCCTGAGGAGGAAAGGTCTGCACAGCTGTCACATCCCGGGCTGCGGCAAAGTCTACGGAAAGACCTCCCACCTCAAGGCACACCTGCGCTGGCACACCGGGGAAAGGCCCTTCGTCTGCAACTGGCTCTTCTGCGGTAAGAGGTTCACCCGCTCCGACGAGCTGCAGCGACACCTCCGAACCCACACCGGGGAGAAGCGCTTCGCATGTCCCGTCTGTAACAAGCGCTTCATGCGGAGCGACCACCTGAGCAAGCACGTGAAGACTCACAGCGCGGGGGCGGGCGGAGGCGCCGGTAATGGGGGTCCAGGCAGCGGGGGCAAGAAGGGAAGTGACACCGACAGCGAGCACAGCCCATCAGCCAGTCCGCCCTGCCATTCCCCAGAGCTTCTGCACCCCACGGACAGAAATGGATTGGAGTAAGACCCTATGGGCTCCCATTTTTCCCCTTGTAGCCCTTACCCCCCTGGTCACTGTGCACCCCCCCCCCCCCCCCTTCCCCCCCCAACCCTCTCTGTTCTGTAACTTAGGACATGGACAAGCATTGTTCTCTGGACACTCCGAGGCTTCAGTCACAGCTTGACCTCTTTCTGCTTCTGATGACACCATTTACCATAACAAAAGTGGCTTTTTCAAGGAATTAGTTAAAAAAGGGGGGAAATGTGGGAGCCAATTCCTCCCTCCCTGCTGGCTGGAAGGAGATGAGAATGGACAGATTATCTGGAGCTGAACTCCTGGGCCACAAGAGAAGAGGGTGCCCAAATGGAGCCAGGAAACTGCAACCTTTTGTCTCCATCCTCTTTGCTATGCTAGACTTACTTGATCCATATTTTAGACTCCATTGAGCTCCAGCCTTTTTGATGCAGTCTTAAAATATGCCACTGAGTGCCCATGTTTGATTGTAGTCTTACTATAGGTCACCAGACATTACTGCAATGGATAGCAACCTTCACAAAGGCCTGAAAGTCCAGTAATGCACTGTGTAAACTGGAGCAACATTCAACTGGCAGCTGCTGTCAAAGTTTAGTAGGTTGATTAGTGTGCTGGGATGTTTCAGCTAACAGGTAACCATGTGATGTGTTCATTGGGACTCAATATTGCTGTTTGTTTTCTATTTGAAAAAAAAAATTGTACTTATTTGGAATGCATCCTTCCCAGTCATTTCAAACGTGTACATTTTCAAAAATCACTGGATGATCAGTTTTTAGGACCGAATGGAATATTTAGGCGTGAATAATATTTACTAAGGGAGTTTGAAACTACAAGACCCACTTTGCCTATAAAAATAATTCGATGGTCTGGTGTTAAACTCTATTTAGTAAATTAAAAAAAAAAAAAAAAGGTTGTCATTTTCATTTTCCTGTGAATTTAAAATTCTGCATTATCCTCTAGATAACACTTAATTTATTGGCATAAGTGTACCCCCACAATTTAACAATTTCCCCCAGATAGCATCTTATTTCCCTGTATAGTTGGAATTCCCAAATTCTACAAATTCCTCTATATAAAATCTCATTTTCCTGCATAAGCAAAACCCCAAATTCCTTCAATATTCTTAAAAACAAGTAATTTTCCTGCATAGGCGAAACCCCACGTTCCAGAATTCTAAAATATCCTTTAGATAAAGTCCAATTGTCTGCAGAGGTGTAACCTTACATTTCATAATTCATCATCTGAATATCATCTACATTTCCTGTATAGGTGAAACCATAGAATTCTATAATATCTCCTAGACAAAATGTAATTTTCTTGTATAGGTGAAATTTCCAAATTCTGTAATATCATCAAGATTACATCTATCTTTCCTGTATAGGTGAAACCACAAAATTCTATAATATCCTCTGGATAACATCTACTTTTCCTGTATAGGTGATCCCCTAAAATTCTATAATATCCTCTGGATAACATCTACTTTTCCAGTATAGGTGATCCCCGAAAATTCTATAATATCCTCTGGATAACATCTAGTTTTCCAGTATGGGTCATCCCCTAAAATTCTATAATATCCTCTGGATAACATTTAGTTTTCCAGTACAGGTCATCCCCTAAAATTCTATAATATCCTCTGGATAACATCTACTTTTCCTGTATAGGTCATCCCCTAAAATTCTATAATATCCTCTGGATAACATCTACTTTTCCTGTATAGGTCATCCCCTAAAATTCTATAATATCCTCTGGATAACATCTACTTTTCCAGTATAGGTGAACCCTCAAAATTAGATAATATCCTCTAGATAAAATCTATTTTTTCTTTGCAGGTGAACCCCCAACATTCTATAATATCCTCTAGAAAACATTTAATTTTCCTGTATAGATGAAATTACAAAATTCCATTGCATCTGAATAACATCTAATTTTCCTGTATAGGCGAATCTCCCAAATGTTATAATCTCACCTGGATAACATCTAATTTTCCTGTTTAGATGAACCCCCAAAATTCTATAATCTCCTCTGGAAAACATTTAATTTTCCTGTATAGGTGATACCCCAAAATTCTATATCTCCTGAATAACATCTAATTTTCCTGTTTAGGTGAACCACCAAAAATCTACAATATCCTCTGGATAACATCTAGTTATCCTGTATAAGTGACCCCCCCCCCCCCCCACACACACACACACACACACACACACACACACATTCTATATTATCCTCTGGATAGCATGTAATTTTCCTGTTTCTGAGAAAGTGCAAAATTTTAAAAACTCTCTAGATAAACTCTACACTTCATGCATATAACTCATGAGTATAACTTATTCCTCAAGCTAGAATCGAATTTTAATTCATAGGAGAAACAGCAAGTTCCACATTTCTGCAATAGCTTCTAGATTATTTTTACCTCTAATTTTTAACAATTAAAAAAAAAAATACATTCCCTCCACTTTAGGTTGGTAGATTTAGAAATGCAAAACTGAAAAATACATTCCCTCCATTACAGGTTGGTAGATTTAGAAATGCAAAACTGAAATCATCCAGTCCTACTTAAAACATGTTCACTCACTTACTCCCTTTGTGTAATCTCTTGGCCAAAGGCCCTTCCATAAATTCTTTTCTATAGAACCAAGTCCTGGGGAATGTCAGGAGGGCTATCAAATACCCCCCTAGCATGGTGAATAGAGGAGCTAAGTACTGAAGGCGATTTTTGTATAGTATTTTTCTTGTATATTAATAACAGTAAATATTTGAAAATATATAGGAGTACAATGGAGCTTCTTTTTTGTCACAAAAAATATTGAGTTATTGTTGCAGGTCACTGCAGTCTTTTTTATTATTAATATTATTATAAATATTTTGTTTCTTGAAGTGTACATCAAACAGAAAATGCACTTTGAGGATCTAGTTTTGCTTGAATATGACTTTAGATAGGTATAAACTGTAACTGAGAAAAAAGACACTATTTCATAAAATGTTCAATGACATCTAATTTAATTGAGCATGTACTTTTCGCTGGCGGTTCTGCTATAGCTAAAAGTGAGAGTCCTTTATTTCATTACAAGTGGGTCAGGCAGACTTAAATCATGTATTAATAAACTGTCAGAGTGAAACTGAGCTGTCTTTGGGCTGTGTATTTCCTGCTAAAATCATCCACAAAAAATAATAATCACCTCCCTGATTTTTATTTGCTAATTAAATGTCTTTTGGCTACTGACCACACTACAGCCATAGTTTGCAAACTTTGCAGACTGTCTACTCCTTGTTGTAATGTTGAAATAATTTTGAATATTTCACATTGAAATGGAAAAAAAAACCTTTCACTGGGACGTTTAGATTGCATTCTAAATGCATGAGATGTAATTGGTTTTATTTGTAATATTTTAAATAATGGAATTAATAAACTCTGGAAAAAAAACAAGATGTATTTCTTATTTGTGTTTATTCCTTTTATGCTATTTATTACTATTATTATTTCATGTTTTGTATTTTTCTGTATTATCCCCTTTGTTGTGCCTTTTTGTCCTAGTATGGTGGGCTCCACTTGTGTGCATTTCTCTGCACATTCTAGAAACCAGTCCCCAATTTTCCATGTAGTGATGAGTTTGGTTCTCTGTCCTGAGTGATGGTTGGACTTTTGATCCTTACAACTGGAACACTATTAGCCTCTGACAATGGAGCAGAACCTTATACTTATTACTTGCATACAAGCGGCAGTCACCAAGTCTATAACAGAGATTATCCTTGATATATGCGCTCCATAGTCTATCTGCACGTCATAAATTAGATAGAACCGTGTACATTTCAATGGGAAACATGACCTGTGATGTACAGGGAGGTGATATTAATCTCAGGGACTACACAGGGTACATGGCTGGAGGTACTATCTGCCAAGGGACAGCTCATCCAGGGCACTAGTGGGTCATGGGAGAGCAGAAAACTAACGAAAGCTCTTTTTTTAATGCAGATTATGTTTTTCTGCAAACTAATTGTAGTAGAAATAATGATTACTTAAAAAATTGGTTTCACTTAAGTGGTCCTCCAATATATAAAACGGTGCATAGGTTATAAAGGCTGTATTTACATACACACAGATAGATAGATAGATAGATAGATAGATAGATAGATAGATAGATTTTAGATTTATAGTACCAGTCTTTAATATATATATCTATATATATATATATATATATATATATATATATATATATATATATATATGTGTGTGTGTGTGTGTGTGTATGGTCTTAATTTTCCAAAACCGTATACAGATTATAATAAAGATAGATACATACATACACAAATATCAGTATATTTTATAGAACGATATGTTTATGTATACACAAAAATATAGAGTGTACATATGTGTGCATATATATGACACAACTGGAAAACATAAAACATCCATGGACCCATAAATCGTCCTGGTACAAATGAAAGGTATTTTGGGTCTCTGTTTTTACAACAGCTAAACTTGCACCTCTTTGAACTCCTTTGCTGCTTTTTTTTTTTACAGTGCTGGGATTGCACAATATCATGAAATATGTGTTTGGAGGACAAGTCTGAGCGCAAAGTGATATAAAACTTGTCAGACAATGAGCTCGGAGGAAAAATATGAAACTAGTGATCCTCCAGCTGGCTGTACTGAGGGCACGGGGCGTTCAATGGCCGCGCTGCGCTAAACTCCAGTCCCTTGCGCTAATAAGGGGGAAAAAAAGTCGTAGCGAGTCTGGAGCTTTCCACTGCAAAATATCGATTTAAAAAGAGATCAAGAAAGGAAAACTGGAGCGTGGTTTACAGGGGAGAACACAAGCAGCTTGTCAGCCAGCCCTCTTCACCCCCCAAGCTGTTATCCTCTGAAGAGTTTTATTGCTGCCTCTAAAAAGGCGCAGAAGGAGCCCATAGAGGTGGCATTTTACGATGTACTACAAAAGATATGAGCGGCGCTTCTCAAAGCCTGGGACTTCTTCTGTATGTACTATACTCAGCCCGTGTATTGTGTGCAGGCAGGAGGATCCGAGAGATTGTCGCAGCTCATGGCACAGATCAGGACCTGCTCAAGTTAGTTGTTGTTGACCTCAAGGTCAGCTAGTTGTCCATCAAAGCACAGTTCAGTCTATCAGATGGCCTCTTCTGTGTTCTGTAGTCACATCGGCGAAATAATATTTTCGGGAGTTCTATATCATGTGCGATCATTTCGGGAGTTTTATAGTTTGTGCGATCATTTCGGGAGTTTTATAGTTTGTGCGATCATTTCGGGAGTTTTATAGCTCGTGGGATATTGCGGTAATTCCATAGTAATACCTGCTTGTGTTCAATAAAGTCTTTACTACAGTTTGTGCAAAACCAATTAAGTAAAAAGAAAGACATACAAATATTAACATGCATATATGTGTATGGATATATATATATATATATATATATATATATATATATACATACACATATATATACAGCCAGCTGGAGGATCACTAGTTTACATATAGCATATATATATCTGTTTTTATGTATATCTATGTATAAATATATATGTATGTGTATATATATATATATATATATATATATATATATATATAGATAGATAGATAGATAGATAGATACATACATATATATTTATATATAGATATACATATACAGATATAAATATGCTATATGTATATATTATATACACATATGCGGTGTATAAATAATTTAGACGCACACACACGAAATGAAACGAAACGAAACATTATAATATATATTCTATATGTGTGTGTATATGAGCCTAATTTATTATTTATATATACCGCATATGTGTGTGGATATATATATATATATATGCATACATGTGTGTGTGTGTGTTTTTACTTAGTTGTTTCTGCACAAACGGTATATTAATAATATTATTCCTATTATCATCATTATTATTTTTATTATCGTAGACAATGTTTCATTCTGTCCCAATAGCTCCTATGACTGCAATAAAATAATTTACTAAAATAAAAAAAAGAGTTTATCTTAAGCACCACCAAACGGGTTATTCAAGGAAAAAGTAACATAACATTTTATTCTATATACAAAAGTTTATATTAGTTTTGCATATAATAATTAACCCAGTCTAACTGGTATCCAATACTATAATTCAAGGTTTAGCACACGTTTAGCACACAAGTCCAATGACACTTTTCACTAACGCTCATGTAGAGTTGAAAAGAGTAATCTTTAAGGGAAAGTCCACCCCAAACTGATAACCTGTGATGGATAACATTAGAAGTGAACTTATACATTCCAGCTCTTTGTGACATAATTTTCCCCCGGAATACTGGATGGAATGACTTTTTTCTTTTTTCTTGGTCGGTCTTGTCTGAGCCCCAGCGGGAGAGAGCAGCGCTCAGTGCCCCGGGACTCCAGGGGACAATAGAGCCGCTTCCTTGTGCTGGTGTCAACCTGTTTATGCGTTAAATCCAGCAGTTCTGCAAAGGAGAGGAAATAACAATTCACCCCTTTCCTGCAAGGATTAAAAAGCCCTTCACCACTGAATGCAGACACTCTCATTCTTCACTGATTAGACCCAAACTTCCTTTTGGATCACTCAAGCAATAAGTGTAGACTATGGGGATGTGTGTGAGGCCTGATTGATAGATCTTTCCAGATTTTTATAAATATAAGAATATATTAAATACAAGAACACTTACCTTCAAATATTTACTGAATATATATATGTATGTGTATATATATATATATATATATATATATATATATATATATATATATATATATATATATATTCATATTCATATTTGAAGTCAAGTGCTCTTGTCCAATACTAGGATAAAATATAATTCTTTAACTGATATTAGAGATATATATGAAACACATCCTTTAGAAATATCCAGTTTTTTAGATCTGTGTGGCAGTAAACTTTTAAAAACCTGTTAAAAAAAAAAAAAAAATTAAAAAACAAAAAAAAAATAGAATACTTCCTTTAGCTTTTCTTAATACCCAAGGCAGAGAGCACTTTAGGAGTTATATTTGTTTTAGAGCTGCAGAGAGCCACAGGTTGTCCCTCTGTTATACTCCACACAAGGACTGAAGCTCAGCATGTTGTAAGATAAATAGGGACATCTAGCGGTTGATTTCAGTAATTCACCAGTCAGTGAATAGGTTCAAGTATGGCAATTGTTTTACTAAAGGGGCAGAGCATGGTCACACTGAATTTCCATTTAGTTTAGTGAATGGGGTGAAAAACTAACTGAAAATTAATTTTGATAGGAATACTTAATTATGTGAAAGGAAAATAGTAAAACTTTTTTTTATTGTTAGCATAGCTTTACATCATTCACTAAGCTAAGTGATGATTGGCTTGCAAAGTGAAAGTTCTCCTAGGTTAGTAAATAAGGTGAAGCTTACTTACTTCATAATTAATTGAGCCACCGCATGAAAACTAATATGCTGTCCATAAAATAAGGAATAGCCACTTTCATGAGAGCCTTTTTGTTTTTACACAGGCGCTTTGACAGAGTCCATTTTATTTATTTTAAACCTTTAGTTTACAGCTAGATAATATACATCTACCAATCTAGATTAAAAAATGTAGGAATTTGAGAACTATCAGGGAGTATATATTCCTAGTGTTTTAACAGTATTAGGCTATTCTGACCCTTAAAGTGTTACTAAACCCAGAACATTAAAATCAGTCTGTATATACAGTAAAGCATGCTTGTTATACTCACTGTGGAACCTAAGGGGTTAATCCTCTGCATTGTGTAAAAAAGGCCATTTGATCCTAATTTTTCTGCCCCTCCACTTGTTCAAATGTCCACCTGATAAGACAGACTGAACCCATAGCCACATGCACATGCTCAGTTTAGTGTGTATTGCTAGAGAGTTTTTTTTCTTTGGAGAGTGCATATGATCAGCACAGGGCCAATCATTACATTCCAGACAGAGGCCAGGGGTTTTGCATCCTCTTAGAGCAGAAAGAAAACTCCACCTACAAGCTTTAACCAGTGCTCTGCTGAAGTCACAAGACTGCTATATACTGCTGATGAAAAAAGGTATTTAGCAGTTTATATTTACTAAAATATCTGCACTTCCATGTTCTGTGCACTGTGGAATAGTGAATGCAGGGTCCTGGGTTTAGTAACACTTTAATAGTCTTTGTAGATTAATTATATTTGATACACGTCCTTAAAGTCATTTTTGAATAGAGAACTATTTATTGTATGAATTAATGTAGGCTAGCATAGTCACTAGCTGCAAAGATAATTACACAATTCTCCAGTACCCAGCCTTGCTAGCCTGTAAAGAGGAGTTAGTAGAGCTAATTTCTGATGTTTTAACCTTCCAGTCGGACAGATCCCTAATGAGTTATATGTGGACTCAGTGCTTTAGTATTTTCACATTCAGTTGATGACAGAAATATTAGTCTGTTGCAAAAGCTATATACATTTCACTATTTCATATCAAAATTCACTGACTGACTTGGATACAATTGATAAAAAAGTTTGCCTTGCAATTGCTCCCAGCCTTCACAGAAGCATTTGATTGTGTGTAAGAGCTCAGGCATAGCAAATGTATATGTAATCCAGAGCAAGTATTGATCATTTACAGGACTTAGAAATGTCCTTATTATTAAAGATAAGAATATCAATTTGCTAATTATTCTCTGTTAAGCATAGTAAGACTTAGTTTATACTTGCAGTGGGGGTGGTAAGAACAAGCATTTGAGCCATGTATTTACCTCTCCCAAAGCTGCAAAGGCAACTGTATGGGAGTATACACATGCATTGTGAGTTGTTTAAAATGGCAGTACGGACCGAAGATAGCAATCCATTCAAGCGAATAGAGCTGAGTTGCAACTGCTTCACAACTATGTGCATTGCATTGTGACACAGGCCTTTAGGGGTTAAACAAGCGGTAAGGAGGCAACATTAATTCTCCTCAACACCTGTTAAAACCCTCTGAGGTGCGATCTTCTCTTCAGAGGGCTAACACAAATGTGAACAAGCTCTAAAGCCTTCCTAAAACACACACTTTGTGGGGGAGATTTACTAAAACTGGTGCACGCAGAATCTGGTGCAGCTGTGCATAGTAACCAATCGACTTCTAACTTCAGCTTGTTCAGTTAAACTTTGACAATAAAACCTGGAAGCTGATTGGTTACCAAACACAGCTGCACCAGATTCTGTGTGCACCAGTTTTAGCAAAGCTCCCCCAATATATACAAGTCTCATTTCCATCATAAACTCTGAAAATGATTTTAGCATAGCTTGACCAACTTCACCATCAGTGGACATGCACTATATTTGGCAACACAGCGTACTATGTAATGCATTACTGTGCCTTGCGGTGTGCTGCAATGTATATGCATTGGAGGTGCATTGATTTAGGGCTTGTTCACACATACTATGGTGACCTGTATTTTTCTATACTGGATCATCAAAGGTTACTGCTAGTGCACAATTTGTTTTCTGTGTGCCCCATTTACACCACAAAGCTGGTGTGAAGTGTGGTGCAGAAAAATACATACATGTTTCATATTTCTGCGCTGCACTGGATGACGTAGTGGGCTTTATTTACTAAAGCTGGAGGGTGCAAAATCATGCTCACTTCTGCATAGAAACCAATCAGCTTCCAGGTTTCATTGCCATTGCTTAACTTAGCTGAGGTTAAGGCTTGGTTCACATATGTGCTGGTGGTGCCACTGCGGATCCACACGAAAATACGCGCAGCCGCACCACTCGCAGAGAACTGCGGACCCGCGGGTGGGTACCATTAGTTCTAATGGCAAGCCGCCCGCACTCAAAAACGCAACTGTACTGGGAACCAAGGTTCCTGTGCGGGCTGCGTTTTCAGAAGAAGTGCAGGGACTTCTTCCCTGCGTGTCATGGGGCATGGGAGTCCATTCAAATGAATGGGCTCTCGTGCCTGCGCAAAATGCGGTCCGCACATCCGCATATATGTGAACCAGGGGGTAAAGGTGATTGGTTTCTTTGCAGAAATGAGCCTGATTTTGCACCCCCCCAGCTTTAGTAAATAAACCTCCGTGGATCACCACGTCGTTGTGTGGAGACCTGAAGATAGTGTACACTTTGTACTTTCAAAAAAGTAAAAAAAAAAGGTAAAATTTGCCTTGCATTGTAAAATACGAGTCAACAGTCATTACTGAGACACCATGGCAGACACCAGCCATGTGCTAAAATGGATCATTCTCGCACACATCTGGTAAAAATGGAACGTGTGTTAATGTGTGTAGCATTAACGTGTGCATTACTACAACGCACCGCAATGGAAGAGTGTGTGTTATGACCCTAACATATCCAAATCCAGATGACTTTTATGATGTGAAGATTTGCATAATAATAATAATAACAACAAGCGTATTATCCTGCTGATTATACTTATTTATATACCCCTTTGCACACTTTGTTTCACAGCTTACCCTTTTGGCTAGGGCAGGTTTCTATCTGTGTGACATTGATCTTCCCTCATTGGTCAATAACTGCTAAGCTGAAGGCAGCAGGGATTGACATTTCTATTGGTGTATAATTCACACTCCTCTAACTGGTTTGTCAATAGATGAGGATTTCTACTGTGAGGATCAGTTGGCTCCAGAAAAAGAAAATCAGAATCAGTAAATGCAAGCGCCTAGGGGCTGCTGTCTTTAATAGAAAAATCAAGCTGGTATATTTTACATGACATCACCAAGTCGTTTTCCCAGCTGATTCCACCTTAAACGCTTAAGCTGTTCGAGCTGGTCGCTAATTAAATTTTCTTTCTTTGCGGATCACTTCTAATGGGCCCTGGGTAAAAGAATAATTATGCAGTAACATTTCATGGCTTGTTGGCCGAGGAATTCCCAGCGAGTTGCAGTCAGCACTTTATACCCCAGACAGAATTCCCCTGTGCTGCTATGTGTTAAATGAGGCACCAACTGAGAGATCGGCTTAGCTGCACTGATCTCCCCTATCAGCCTGGCTGCCACAATGCTCTGGCCTCATGTTTTATGCCAGCAGCTTCTTAAACTAGTAAGCTACTTTCTGCTAATAAAAGAGACATAGGGCTGAGACTGGAGGATCGCTAGCCATGTGCACTAAGGTTGGGTTGGTGTTAGTCCTGTGTACACCTGCATCATCAGAGCTCGATTGTCCCAAAAATGTTGCTGATGTAGGTGATCAATTAAAGCTAAACTCCACATGGATATAAAATAATCCAAAAATGTTTGAATTTGTGTATTCTTTAAAAGAATAATTCATTGCATTTTTAAAAGCAGCTAATGTAAGCAGGGGCTTATTCACTGTGAAGCAAACAAGGCGTTTGCCCAGGGAGGCATTTTTCAGAGGGATGGCAATGCCCCCCTGGAAGAAGGGATGCATGCGGCATGGGGACCAGGTGGGCTCCGTGAGAGGCTGCAGGCTGCTTGACTGTGTATGCAGAGCCTGACTCTCATTCCTGGGATGTCCAAAGCTGTGAAGATCAGTCTCTCGCTCTCGCTGAGTGGGGGAGGGAAGTGGTTGCGGGTGTATGGGGGGTGGCGGAAGGCTCTCTTGGCCCGGGGGGGGTGGTGTTGGTTGTTGTCAGGCTCTCGCTGCGATGGGGCTGCGGGCCGATTTATGTGTTGCCTAGGGCAGCACAAAACCTAAATACACCACTAAATGTAAGTAGCTGAATTTGTCTTGGTATCAGCCTCTTGTAATCCCCTGTGCAGTTCATTTCAGACTGGGAAAGGTGAGTACAGCACTAGGAGCTCTGAGACTTTGATTCTTTCATGCAAGTACAGTACAATACTTTTTATTTACTAAATAAAAACGACTTCACAATGCCAGTGTAATCTCTCTCTCTCTCTCTCTCTCTCTCTCTCTCTCTCTCTCATGCGTTTTTATTACAAAATATATGAAAAATATTTTTAAATATACATTTTAAATATAGTGTATGTCTTTAAAAATACAAATCTACATTTTTGGAATGCATTTACAACTATATGTAAAAATATATGTTTAAATTACTTTTTTATATGCTAAAAAAATCTGAAGAATATATTAAAAAAATATATATTTTTCAAAATATTTTTCAAACACATTTCAACATGCAGTGTATATATATATATATATATATAAAATATATTTTGAAATATATTGAAGAGGTTAGTAAATGCATGGCATCCTCCAGATTTATTCAGTGCAGTTTAATTTCCAATATGGAAGAATCACTTCAATGGCAAATACCCTATAATTATAAAAGTAATTATTTCCCCTTACTATTAGGATATTTTTTTCCTCATCTCCTGGAAAGAATATCAGCTGAAGGTAGTTTCTGAAAGTCTGTGCAATGTAAAATACATGGACTATAAAACTAATATAATCGAAAAAAAGTTTTTGCAAATACAAAAGGATATAAAACTCAGGCATTGTGGGGAACAGTAAATAAGCATTACATACAGAGTTTATGTAATACGAATGTTAAAATGTGTATATCCTCTTTATTCTATACTCTTTGTGGGCTACAAACCCAAGTTTTGGTATGCTATTAGGACCTGGATTCCAGCGTCTCACCTCCCAAGCCATTGCTTCTCAGTGATTGCCTGGAAGGGGACCTATAGGACTATTGCTCCATACATGTGTAAGGAGGACCCAGCTTCTTTCCATGTGGCTGGCATGTGCAGCTGGGCTCTGCCTATACATGCAGAGTTGCAGGGCATTACAGTGGTGTTCAACCCAAACCACATACTGTCATTTGCACAGATGTTGGTTGTAGACTCTTCTACCCATTCTCCTGGTCACCACATCTTTAACCCCTTCCTGCCTTGAGTACTCACACACATAGTTAGTCTGGCAGAAAAAGACAAAAGTCCATCCAGTTCAACTATTAAAAAAAAAAAAAACAGGTCTATGGTTGACCCATGGTTCAGACAGAAGCTCCAGAAATCCAACTGTCCACCTGGGGCCATGAAATGCATCCTGAACACTGTCCACCCAGGCCACCTGATGCGTGCTACCGCTGAGGGGGTTCCACTTCAGAGCCCACCAGGCTTGAACTGGTATATCACACATCTCTTCCTCTCAGGCATAGGCTGTAAAATACTAAAATGCTATCTAAACTATGCTGACACATTGGTGAGCCAATTGTTAGTAATGATTTGAAATATGTGTGCATCCTGAATTTGGAATGTTCTGTTTCCTATATCTTAAGTAAGAGACTACTTAAAGATAAAAAAAAGAGTGATATTCTACAGGGAGTGGTGTGCTATACTGAAAATATCACTCTTTTTTATCTTTAAGCAGTCTCTTACTTAAGATATAGGAAACAGAACATTCCAAATTCAGGATGCACACATATTTCAAATAATTACTAACAGTTGGTTCACCAATGTTATATAGTCTGCCCGAAAAAAGAGAAAAGTCCATCCAGTTCAACCATAAAAAAAAAAAAGTTATAAAGTTATAATCCTACACCCACAGTTGATCCAGAGGAAGGCAAAACAAAGAGCAAAGCATGATCCAATTTGCTCCTGCAGGAGAAGAAAATTCCTTCCTGATTCCCCCGAGAGGCAATCGGATATTCCCTGGATCAACTTTACCTATAAATGTTATATCCAGCTATATTCTGTGTATCTATGAAAGAATCCAGGCCTTTTTTAAAGCAATCCACTGAGCTGGCCAGAACCAACTCTTGAGGGAGTCTATTCCACATTTTCACAGCTCTTACCATGAAGAAACCTTTCCATGTTTTCAGATTAAATTTCTTTTCTTCCAGACCTAAAGAGTGCCCCCTTGTCCTCTGTGATGACCTCAGGGTGAATAACTACACTGAGTTCACTATATGAACCACTGATGTATTTATACATGTTGATCATATCCCCCCTTAATCTCCTCTTCTCAAGAGAGTATACATTCAGTTTCTCTAATCTTTCCTCATAGCTGAGCTCCTCCATGCCTCTTATCAGTTTGGTTGCCCTTCTCTGTACTTTCTCCAGTTCGCCAATGTTCTTTTTGTGAATTGGTGCCCAAAACTGAACTGCATATATCCAGATGAGGTCTTACTAATGATTTGTACCGGGGTAATATGATATCTCTCTCTCTGGAGTCTATACCTCTTTTAATACAAGAGAGGATTTTGCTCGCTTTAGAACCTGCAGCTTGGCATCACATGCCATTATTAAGCTTGTGATCTACCAGAACTCCCAGATCCTTCTCCACCATTGATTCCCCCAGTTGTCCTCCCTCTTGAATGTGTCAGCATAGTTTAGATAGCATTTTAGTAAGAGCATTGTGGTACTCGAACTCGAGGTACACTTCTTGTTAGGTCATGCTCAATGAAATGCCAGCCGCCCCTCCCCCACAGGGGAGAACACACAGGTAACTCTCTCTGAGACCTCTCTCACCCAGGCCCCTCCCACCTTATAAAGCAGGCACTTTGCATTACCATGTCACCATTATGAGGAGCAACCCTTAAAGGGGATGTCTACCTGCCAACAAATGCTAAAGGGTTGCATATCAGCTAAAAGGCTTTGTCTCATGTTGACTGCTGTGTAGCTTGCTGATTAAAGTTATATAATTACTACCAAATTCTATGAGGTTGTGGAGCGTTCTCATGAAATTGTGTTCTCTGGTATGGGCAAGCTGAATGCCAGGTCCTCTATTGTATAGCAATTGTTCAAAAATTAATTTAAACCAAAAAAAAAAAGAGTATAGATAATGTCGAACAATGAACCTCCCTCATTTGCACCCTTTTGATCTGTTAAATATACCACTGAAGTGTTTTGCTGTATCTGTTTTAAATAAAATGTTATGGAGATGAGTGTGTGTTTGGGTTCTGTAGTCTACATAAGGAGTAAGCCCACAAAAGTAGTAGTGACCCCTAATGGTTGAACATTTGCGCTTTGACTCTCTGGTTTACATAAGGAGTGGCCAACCTAGGGATGCAGCGCTTTTCCTCTATAGATACAGTAGGGTGAGTGAGTTCTTTAGACATAGGAAAAATGTATTACTGGCAGGATCACAAGTTGAAAATAAAATAAAAAATCGAAAAAAACAAAACGCAGTTGCCATGACTAAAGAAGGATAGGCTGCAAAATATACATTTTTGTTGGATTTAGATATACTTTAAAGTGGTCGTAAAAAATTACATGTACCCACTGAAGTGACAAGCCTCAGGTGATACACAAAAATGAAACAATTGCAATTTGCACCTGTTTATTGACAGCCATCTTTTCTCTAAAACACAATAATCAAACGCTTTTTTCAGCCCCAGCAGGCAGGGGGCCGGAATCTGACATCATGCAGTGCATTGAACAGAGCAGGGAGCTAAGTGTAATCTGAGAACTCAGTGGAGGGAAAGGACACACACCCTCTGCACAGTCTCATAGGGAAACATGCACAGCTGAGGTTATTAATCACCTTCTGTGTGCTGGAGGGGGATGGGGGCTTCTCCTTAAAGTGTTACTAAACCCAGAACAGTAAAGTCAGTGTGTATATGTAGTAAAGCATGCTTGGTATACTCACTGTGGAACCTAAGGGGTTAATCCTCTGCATTGTGTAAAAAGGCTGTTTGATCCTTTCTTTTCTGCCCCTCCTCTTATTGAAATGACCGCCTGATAAAGACTGAATCCGTAGTCACATGCATATGCTCAGTTTGGTGTGTATTGCCAGAGAGGTTTTTTTTTTTTTCTTGGGAGAGTGCATGTGGTCAGCAGAGGGCCAATCAGCACTGTCTAGACAGAGGGTCAGGACTTTCACATCCTCCTAGAGCAGAAAGAAAAAACTTCTCCTACAAGCTTTAACCAGTGCTCTGCTGAACTCACAAGAATGCTCTAACTGCTGATGAGAAAAAGTATTTAGCATTTTATATTTACTAACATAATTGCATTTCCATGTTGTGTGTACTGTGGGAGACCAGATATAGTGAATACAGGATCCGGGGTTTAGTAACACTTTAAATTCTGTGGTATTGGGATAACCTGTCAGAAATGACTAACGCAGATAGCAGAGGAAAAAGAGAGGAGACAGAAACCACACTTTATTATTATTATTATTATACAGGATTCATATAGCGCCAACAGTTTGCTCAGCACTTTACATCATGGTGGGAGACAGTACACGAGACAGTACAGTAACAATACAATTCAATACAAGAGGGGTTTGAGGGCCCTGCTCCTTGGAGCTTACAATCTAGGAGGGAGGGGATAGTGGTATAAGAGGGTAATAACTGTGGGGGATGGAGTGGTTGGAAGAGTAGAGGATTTCAGTATTAGCTGAGGGCAGGGTAGGCTTCCCTGAAGAGATAGGTTTTCAGAGTGTTCCTAAAAGTGAGCAGAGTGTGCGATAGTCTGATGGATTGGGGTAGGGAGTTACAGAGGATGAAGGAAGCTCCTGGAGTCCTGGAGACGAGCATGGGAGGAAGAGACAAGGGAGCTAGAGAGTAGGAGGTCTTGTGAGGAGCGGAGAGTACGGTTTGGGTGATATTTGGAGACAAGATCGGTGATGTAATTTGGGGCAGTGTTATGAACGGCTTTATACGTCAGTGTTAGCGTTTTGAATTTTATCCGTTGGGCAATTGGAAGCCAGTGGAGGGATTGGCAGAGAGGGGTGGCAGATACGGAACGGTTTGATTTGCATTGAGTCTAGTGCACACTATAGAGAGATATGGTCTTTTCATTTTAAATTTCAGAGATTTACATCCACTTTAATGTCTTTTTGTATACTGAAAATATCATTTTGTTAAAATGGACACTAAACTGCCAGTCTACAGTATGCATTCCAGACAGTTATTATTCTATGGTGTATTTCTAACAATAGATAAAAATAACAAAGCAAAAAAAGTCTATGCGTATCTGGCGTAGGGAAAGTCCATTTCTAACAACCACAAATAAGACTAATGTTTGAACTACATGTGTAACAAATGAGTACATTGGCACTGGAAATATCCATTGGGCATGTACCTGTAGATTTTGTTCAACTAGTATATCATCCCTATAGATTATAAATATTTAATTATAAAAGACATACACAAAACTCGTGCCAACACAATATATGACTCATTCACCTGCAAAAACTGTTGAAGCCTGACACGTTGCTAGGAAGTGGTATAATAGGATTAAATGAGACACCCGTGAAAAAAAATGTGAAATTGACTGACACTGCATTGCTGGAAGGCATTGGAACCATTCAGAGGATAATAGAAGGATTGCTGCGGGTTCCCATGAAGGAGGTTTAGAGTGCAATGATGTGATACAAGTAGTGTATCTTATCGAGTAAATCTGGTCACTAGTAAAATTTCATTTGAAAAATTTAGTTTCCACAACAATCATTCAATGTTTTAATGATTAACGGGGAAAAAATAAACAATGCTTTTTGACCATACTAATGAGAAAATTTGAAGGAGCAGTATGGAAAGTAATTCTCAAACAAACGAAATTGGAACCATGAATGTGGTTTTTGTTCTGGAAAATCATAGATATTGTAATGCACATGTTCCAGTTGCAAAGGAAACCTGTTTAATGTCTGGAATTCCAAATAATTTTAAAGACACTTGAATTAAATGAATTTACTCATTGATGGCAGAATAAAAAATCCTCTGACAAACAATTTTTCAGAATTCCCATTTAAACATTCGAACAAAATTTTACTTGTGTATGGCCAGTTTAAGGAAAAATAGCAAGAATTAATGCATCTTACATCAAAATCTATGGGATGAAAACCAAAGCTGAGTTGCCATTTTTACTACAGCCCATCAGCATGAATATCAACTGCAAACCTGTGCTACTTTTAGGGGCCTTTAGGATTAGAAGGCCCATCGGGGCTTCCATTAGTGGAGGATCCTCCATGGAAACTACCCTGGCATTTCAATTAGACTAAGCAATTACAATAATTTAAGACTGAATAGTTAGATTTTTATGAATTCATGACTAGTTTTTTTTTTTAAAGCTGCCTAAATAAGTCACGGTCTAATTTTATAATCTACTTAGTTCAGTTTGAAAGTTAAGCAAAAAAGGAAAAGTCTTACGGTCAACCAGCTAGAGAAACTGGTTAAAAGAAAAGACAGAAAATCTGGTCTTAGAATGTATAATCTGTTTGTACAGTATCTGCAGAACTACGTTTGAATTACCAGGTGAGGGCCTGCCTGTTCAATGCATTGAATTTATATCCAGTTAGGTAAGCTATTGACATCTATAGTTGTTGGTAAATCTAAAGTTGGCCATACACCAGAAGATTGTCGAGCTTCATAGAAATATTTGTACAAAAAAGTACATATGATGACTTGAAAAACTTCGAAATTTAGTTTGCCTATAACATTCCATTTTGGAATGAATTCATTTCCAGAATGAGAATTGGGAAAAATGTTCCATCCTGTTCCATCGAATTTTTCCATCAATATGGTCAAAAAGAAAAGAATAGGTCTGAACTCCCGTGGCGTTGCTTGCTTTGCTGTGCTGTGGAGGGCTGATGATGGAGGCATGACACCTCTATGAGGAGAATGACGCCATAATGAGTGTTCCATCAAAGGGGGGACAAAATACGTATGCAGCAGTGATGTAAAAAATCAGGTGAAATCTCCTAAACAGAGCGGGTTGGAATACCATGAAAAACACCTAATTTTAAGTCATTAAACAAATCTTTACATGGCTCAGAGTAGGTCAGGAGACTTTACTACCACTTTAAGTTTAACCCATAATATAACCTTCTTCTACTGCAGGAAAGATTCCACATTCTCTGTAAAACATTGTGGAAACAGTAACAATATAATGTAATAACAAAATGATTGGTTGATGTGGGCTGCATCTATGCTTTACAGTTCTTTTTTTTAGATGTATTTTTGTGTTTTTCCAAATGCTCTAAAATGAAACTGCTCTTGTGTTATGCTCCAATTTATACAAACAGGAACTTCTGTTATTACAAGGCAGTACAACCAGTAAAATGATTTTTTTTTCACTGATACCACACACATAATAGAATTCAGAAAACATACTCAAGCATGTAGACTACTAGGGTTATCACCCAGCTGGTATATCGCTGGCCAGACCAAAAAAGCATCCACATTTATGTAGCACCCTCCTCTAGTTAGGCTGCTTGGTTAAATTTTGTTTTTGGGCTTCACTGTAGTGAGTGGAGCAGTGATTGTTTTGGTCTGTTTTGGGTTTCCTGAGTAGAGAGTTTGATCCTTCCCACCTGCCTCTAAAAAAGTATAGGGCAAGGAGATTCAAATGATGAATGTGAATATTTATCATGCCCCTGCCAATCCCTGGAAGGAGGAGTCCAGAAGGTGGCTGGGGGTGATAAATGTTTGGGAAGCTTTGTTAGAGTGTTATTTGAAAAGGAGGCTCCAGGTCTCTTGTGGACACTGCCCCTGACAGCAACTTTACTAAGACAGGAAATAGTCTGGGCCTGGAGAAGATTGTCAATTGATGTTTGCTGGAGGGCACTCAGTTATTTCCCTTACGGAGGATCTACTTGTGGATTCTGGGTGGCAAACAGCTCTTGGGACACTGTGAGTAAAGACATTGCTGAGGACTAGCTGTGAAAGTGCCATAAGGGAACTAAGTGCCAGAAGTGGCTAAATGGAATGCTGTTGTAGGGTCTCAGATATACTGGCCATTCCCTGTGACCTACAAGTACAGCTGCTATTAGAAGGTTAGTGAGAAGTTTGTCCTCTCATTATTCCTAAAGATTTTTTTGGAGTATCTTATGACCCTAAACCCTTCTCCTGTTAAAGTTCTTCAGCAATAAATACTAAAAAGTCATCCCCTAGACTAGGAGTACTGAATTAATATTCACGGTTGGTAACATTTTCTTTCGGCAGAGGTCCGAAACTCACTTTTCTTCTGTTACTCAGGTCTTTCACATCTAGCCCCCTTTGCATTAATGTCCTCAGTCCCCCCTTTCCCATAACAGCCCCCCGGTCATTAAAAATTCCTTTCACCTTAGAGCCCCCTAACATTATAGCCCCACTTCCATCACAGCCCCCCTTCACATCACAGTCTTTCCATGATATCACAGTCCCTCTTGCAATCACAATCCCCCACATCACAGTTCCCCCTCTCCTCACATCACTGCCCCCATATCACAGTTCCCCCATATAACAGCTCTCCTCACATCACAGCCCCCCATATCACAGCTCTCCTTCTCACATCACAGCCCCCCCAGTATTATAGCTCCCCCCCTTTCAAATCATAACTCCCTCCTATCATAGCCCCAATTTCACAGCTCCTCCCCCTCACATCATAGCCCCCATATCACAGCTCCACCCTCTTGCAGCCCCCCCATTTCACAGCTCCTCCCTCTCACTTCTCAGTCCCCTATATCACAGCTCCCCCTTTCACTTTACAGCCCCCCATACCACAGCTCCCTCCTCTCACTTCACAGCCCCCCACATCACAGCTCCCCCATATAAAAGTTCCGCAGTCTCACAGCCCCCCCATATCACAGATCCCCCCTCTGATATCACAGCCCCCTCTACCACATAGTCTTCCCCATACCTTAACACATTGTAGAGGGCGGGAGGAATGGCGAGGTGGACTCCTGTTCTATATGTACTCATCTGTCACCACTGGAATGGAAGGAAGGACTCCTCTTCTGAATGTACTGGCTTGCCGTCCCATCACTGAACTCAGAGCAGGGAGGAGGGCAGGAGGAATGGAAGGACAGAATCCTCTTCTGAATGTACTGGCTTGCTGCAGCTGAACTCAGAGCAGGGAAGAGGACAGGAGGCATAGAAGGTTTCCACTGAGGGTGGGAGCTGCCCAACTCTTCCTGGT